TAGCCACTTTTGAAAGAGATGTATCTTTGCTCTGAAAACTGTTATTGAGTATGTTAAAGCTGTAATGAAATGCTTCTTCTAAAAAAAAAAATTAAAAAAAAAGAAAAAGGAAAAAAGAATGTGGAAAGGGGTTTGTAGGGAGGAAAGGGGCTGACAGTGGTAGAAAGGAGCTAGAGAAGGGAGTGAGAGTAAACTGAATGCCTGTATACACCTATGAAATTGTCAAAGAAGAAATTTATCTAATACAAATGCAATGGTTGCATTGCTATGTCATTGAGGTTGCTACTTGTTTTGATCTCTGTCAGTGATACAAAATGAAGTGGAAGAGTGATCAGCACTAAGTGGTGATCATATTTCTAGCATTAACTAGCTAGGAATGTTACCCTGGCCTTTTAATATAGCACAAGTTCTACTATAAGTAAATCAGTAAGTTAGTATTTACCTAAAGCTGGTAAAATCTGAATATAATACAAAATCTGGCTAGGCTGATGGTCTGTGTTTCAACTGATGTCTGTGTAGTTGACATCCCTTGGAGCAACTACATCTTTTTTCTTGTTAATTAGGAAGCTTCATATGTTTTCCAGTGACCATTGTGATACTGATGCTGAACATCTTGTACAAATATATCTTCCCAAGTTGGATGAAAGTCTATCCTTCAAGAGAGCTTCCCTTCTGTCCCATACTTCTCAATAGCCTGCTTTACACCCTGGAGAAGCTCTTGAATATCTGATATAATAGCTTGCTATCAGAATAAAATATCCAGGCTGTCCTCTGCTTGAGTACCAATATTCAGGAAAGCAGCATTAAGCAGGCACCACGTTTAAGGACTGCCAATCTTGAGAAAATAAAGGGGATCTTTTTTGCCTCAGAGCTCTATCACGGGTTGTGTGCTGGTGGTTGGGTAGGGGACTCATGACCACAAAGAGCTACATGGAGAGGGAAAAGTGGGTACAGTGAACAGAAAGGTTCCTGGGCGGGGAACTTCTTATCCAGATGTGTCTCCTCTAGTTGGAACGAGGAACCGACTTCAACTTTCTGTAGCTAGTTAAGTAAAATCTGTGGAAAGGGTTCTCCAGCAGAAAGGGTTAGGAAGGAGTGGAAGAGCCAAAGGGGTGGTGGGGACAAAGGCAGTTTCAAAGGAGCCTCATTGCGTTTCTTTCCTCTTAGTCCGGCTGGCAAGTGCCGGTGTTCTAAAATGCAGCCCCCCTTCTTCCAGAATTTCCAGGCTGCACTATAAGAAATAGCACCATGCCACGGCAGGCTGCCTTATGAAGATGTCAGAGCCTACCCTGGTGACTGTCGATCCCACTGGAGTGTCGGGGATGTCTTGAGAAGAGTGTTCACATCCTTGCCTACCGTTTGCCAGCTATTCCTCTTCAGCTAGATCCCATCTATCCACTCTTCCCACGTCTGGATGGAACACTTGTTGGATAAATGGATGGAAGGACAGAATAAGTGAGTTTGGAGGCTACAAAGACTACTGGAGACTCAGAGATTCTCATGAATTGCAAATTTATTGACTGAGGAGGCGCTGGAGTTGGGAGGTAGTCAATCAGAAACCAAGAGGGAAAATCTGCAGAACAAGACGCAGTTTGAGGAACTCATTGGCTTCTTCTAGGGGAATTAAGACAGGAAGGATCTGGAAACCTCTGGCAATCTCATGAGAACGCTAAGCCCATGGGCGCCCACGGAGAACACCTCCAGGTCTTCTGTCTCCGGGGCGTTCCTGGCTTACTTGCAAGGCCAGCTAGGCGCCTGCTTCTGCTGGGTCTGGTGGCAGACCGGGACGCCCTTGCCACCGCCGGAGCCACCCCCAGAGGAGCCCCCGCCGCAGCTGGAGCCGCCGCCGCCGCC